ATTAGGATTAAGATTAAGATTAAGATTAGGATTAGAATGTTAGGATGATGTCCTATGTAAATCAAAAATAATTGTTTAATGCAAAATTTTTTCTTTTTTATAAGGAATGAAGATGTATTTTAACCCATGAAACTCGTCAATCCGTCAAAACTATCTTCTCCCAGCTTGTTAAAACAGGGCCATATCATTACTAATCCTGTTTTAGGCGATTTTCAACACGTTCACCTAGAGACAGGTGTAATTTCATCACTCATCATGTTTTACGCAATTTTCAGTAGTTTATATTTTTCTTTTTCAAGTAATGTAATTGTATAATAATTTAAAAGTACAAATGTTACTATGAATAAATAAAAAATAAATATTTTAACCAATAATAATTAAATATTAAATTCATCATATGTTATATTTGATGATAAATTTGTCACAAAAATATAATAAATAATAAATTTGACATAACAAATGACAATGCAATGAAGAGTTTTTTTATACTCAAATATCAAATTTGTAATTCTCACGTCAATTCTAACATTATATTGGAAATGCGTTTAGTAGTAAATTTACTACCAAATATAACATATAGCAAATTTCAAATAAAAAATTTGTATTGGAGTATGATTTTCCGTTAAAATTTAACATTAACACACTAATTTAGCCTTGCATCAAAAATGTTCTTGTTAATTGTCATTTTGTTATATAATTAATAATTAATCTCACAAATGCTCTCATAGATTTACCTTATAATTATTGAGAAAGCTATGAATAAAAAGTTTACAAAATTGGCTAAATAGTTCTTTACCTACCAACCGAGCAACCATACCCACCTACCTACCTACAGTCCTACACTATTAGACATTTTTAGGTCAGGATTTTCTTATTCCAACTCTCCCACCACCTACCTTCTCAAGCTGCCATGGACACACTTTCGTTCGATTGTACTCTTTTATTTATTTTTATTCATTTATTTATTTATTTATTCATCTATACGTGTGTGTATATATATATATATATATATATATTTATAGATCGAATTCTATAATTAAATTCGTTTAAGGGCCAATGGTTGCTCTTGGATGGCGATCACGTTGATGAGTTGAATTAAATCGATTTGAGTCGATATATTGCTGTAACGAAAATATAAAGTGTTGTAAAATATATGAAAAAATGAATTTATAGTAGTTCTTCTGATGATTTCAGAGTACGTCCACCGTAGGGTCTTGGGGGTTTCACTATGTAATGAAAATAGTACAATTATAATACTTTTGTGAGAATTTGAGAAGAAGGAAGAGCGAAAGCTAGAGAGAGACTCTTGAGCATAATATGAGGAGTTTGGAATCATCCCTTATTTATAGGAGATGGCATTCTAGTTTCATTTTCTCTTAAATTGGATAGTTTTCATTTTCCTTCAGTTGACTTTCTCTTTCCTTGTTTCCATAATGGCTTCTTGGGATATTTCCTATTTATTATTGATCCGATTTGATCCTTTAGTATAAAATTTAGCTGAGATAATCTTTGTGACCTCTAAGAAATCTATTTCCTTAAATATCGACAGCGGTTCCTATACTCCTCATGTCGCCAATATTTTTCAGTCGTCTTGAGTCAATCTGGACTCCAGTTAATTTCAGTCAATTCGAGTTGATATTTTTCTCCAAATGATGTCCACATGTACAGTGATGACTGTGGTACTGATTTCAACCCTAAAAATATATAAATTTTATTAAACAGTACCTTCAACTAAAACGTTCGTTGGGTTGAAACGCACGTTTTGATTGTTTCTTTTTTTTGTTGCTTTTGATGGTTCTTTTTATTTACTTAAATTAATTTTTTTTTTATAAATTTTATCCTATTTAGATATTTTTTTACGGTAGTGTCTTAAAATTTATTTATTTTATCATTTTAGTCTTTTTTTATTTTTATCCTGAAATTTTATTTTTCTTTTATTTTGATTTTTTTGCCCTAAATTTTATTTTTTTTATTTTAGTCCATTTCTGCTCTTTTTTTAATTTTTGCATTCAACCCTTATTTTTTTTCATTTTGATTTCTTTTGTCTAAAAGTTATTTATTTCTTCATTTTAGTTCTTTTTTTAACCTTTTTTATGTTAGTCCTGAAAGTTTATTTTTTTCTGGTTCCTTTGCCCTAAAACTTGTTTATTTCTTAGTTTTTGTCATTTTTGAACCTTTTTTTTTATTATTTTTACTTTGAAACTTTATCTTTTTTTTGCTTTGGTTCACTTTAACCTATGATTTATTTATTTCTTCATTTTGGTCCTTTTTTACCTATTTTTCCCTCAAACTTTATTTTTTTTTCGTTTTGGTCTCTTTTGCCTTAAAACTTATCGTTTTCTTCATTTTATTCCTTTTTTGAGGGTTTTTTTTTTCTTATTTCCCTAAAACTTTATTCTTCTTTTTCATTTTGGTTCCTTTTTTAGATTTTATATTAAGATGTTTTATGCTTTTAATAATAACACGGTAATTAAAACTTAAGTACGTACTTAACACACGGATTACTCCCCACATGCATAGCACGTGGAGTTCAACTAGTTGTTAAATAAAGTTTCAATTCTTTTTTTTCTTGAACTAAATAACGTTTGATTGAACTCTAATGAACAATGTCAAGGCCAAATTTCGAATATGAAGATTTCAGCATAATTATATGGGATTTGTTTTCCTACTTTGGGATTTATTGTTAAATATGGGATTTATTGTTCATTTCAGCATAATGAACAATAAAGTCTCTAGAAGAGTAAGAAAGTAATTTTGAACGCATAATATATAGGGTGGTCTTATAGATCTGAAAGATCATTAATTGGTCAATTTTATACACCATATTCCCCTCAAGAAGAAGGAGCTTGACTTTTGTTAAAGTATAAAACTATTGTTAGTCTACATTCTAATAGCTTAAGTTTTTGGGATGGATTGGTAAACTAATATGGTATCAAAGCGGGAGGTCCTGAGTTTAAATCCCCGTAATTACACTCTTTATCCCCATTTAAAATTATCATCATGTGTTGGGTCTTTATATATCTCGGGCTTAAATATTCACGTGTTGGGCTTTCCAATTAATTTACCCACACGATTGTCCATTGTCCAGCCCACACGTGAGGGAGAGTGTTAAAGTATAAAACTATTGTTAGCCCACCTCCTAATAGCTTAAGCTTTTGGGATGAATTGGTAAACTAACAATTTCTAATATGTTTGCAAACCCCAATATTCCATTGATGGAATGGCATATCAGAATGATACTCTTTATACTGCTTTTCCCCAATGTATCAGCCAAGAATGAATAATATATACTAAAAAATGATCATATTCTTTTTTTCCTGCTTTGCTTGAACTACAAATTATCTAACCGTAAATAAAGTTATGTTGTTCCACAATGCAAGTAAGCTTCCATATCGGACGTCCACCAATCAGAAGGCAGGATAAACCAAATCAAAATATATGCTGCCAACAAGAGGATCGGTTAAGAAACAATGAAATTATTGTGAATAGTGTATGTAGAAATCATTAGTGTGAATAGTTTTCGTAGAAATTATTGTTTGTGGTAATTAAGTGCGAATAGTTATGTTGTAGAAATTATTGTTTAGCGGTAGACAATAATTCCACAAAGTTTTAATTAAGTGTTTGTAGAGGTGAGATTCATTCTTACCATTCTTCATTGTTTTCAATATAGAGTCTCTTCTGTTTGTCATGCATTTTGCAAATTTATCTCTCTCATCCAATTTTGATCTCAAATGGTATCTAATCAATCATATTATATCGCATTATTTAAAAATGTTTAAAAAAAAAAGGAAGAGCGCTTAAAAAACTTAAAAAAAAAAAAAACTTAACATGCGACATAATATGATTGATTAAACATAGAAAAATTTAACAATAGATTTGAGTCTGCATCATGTGATCCTATTTCTTAAAACTAAAACAAAACAACATTCGACCTGCAACCAAATAGGCGCCAATAGAATATACGAAATGGGTCAAATATACACTTAGACAAACAAAATTTAAAAAAAAAAAAAAAAAAAAGAGCCAATGACAAGACACGTGCGGTCTTTTCATAGGGTGCGCCACTTGGTTTGCTGCTTAATTGACTTGTTACACAGAAAACGTGTATCTCTTTAAGGCTTGAGTGCTAATTAACTTTGTATTCACATATCAATTTGATTAATAAGAACATTAGCTATCTAACTAGTGACGATATGGGTTGTATATAGACCTTCTTGAAGCTCAAGTTTAGTTTAACCAAACACGTCAGCTTACAATATATATATATAGGCATGTATATATATGTGTATGTATATTTATATATTTTGAAGGGTGTTTTTGTAGTTACACCATTAAATTATTAATGCCCTCATAACCCCTTTGCTTCCCCTAACGGCATGCCTCAATTTCTTCAGGTCGGCCATTTGTAGCACATTTGGATTCTTGTTCAAACGGCACTCCATACTTCAATCACAAATTATGGGTTGGGAAAATCTCGGATTTGCCCTTTTGACTTCTTTCCATGTCACACGGTTAATTCACTATTCGTATGGGCAAAATTGTAATTCCAAGCATGCAATTTCACAAAAAGTGGAGTACCCAAAAAAACGCTTCTTTTTGGACCATAAATATTTTAACCCTAGAATATATTACACCACACTCTTCGCAACACACCCCAAAAGAAAGCACCACCTTTTTTTTTTTTTTACCACTTTTCCCGCGTCAAACCCTCTCTCTCATTTCTTCCTACTATAAAGTATAAACATCAAGTCTTCCCTCCTTCACATGCCCATCAAAACTCACTCTCAAAATTCCCTAAGAAAATCCAATACACAAATATCTTCTCTCTCCTCTTCTCTCTCTCTCTCTCTCTCTCTCTCTCTCTCTCTCTCTCTCTCTCTCTCTCTCTCTCTCTCTCTCTCTCTCTCTCTCTCTCTCTCTCTCTCTCTCTCTCTCTCTCTCTCTCTCTCTCTCTCGCTCTCTCTCTCTCTCTATAGTGCAAAAAAGGAGGCTAAACCAACATGGAACTTGTCAAGATAATCTTCCTAATCGCAATAACGATGGCTTTATCAACTACCCTAACCATGAAAACCATGGTCATGAAGATAGAAGAAGGTGGCACAAAGATGACCACCAATGGCATTGTCCATAATCATGAATTAGAGGAAGTGCCACATGTCCTACTGCATTCCAAGAGGGCGAGGAGTCGCTTCCTCGCGGAGAACGAGAAGGAGAGAAACCCTAGGGCCGCCGACCGCTGCCACAAGGACCTCGAGGTGTGCTACACCCTCGCGGGCGGGAAGAACTCGACCTGCTGCAACAACAAGTGCGTGGACTTGCGTACCGACCACCACAACTGCGGCGCGTGCAAGAAGAAGTGCATGTACACGCAGGCTTGCTGCCGCGGGGAGTGCGTCTACGTGTGGTTCGACAAGAGGCATTGCGGCGAGTGCAACCATAGGTGCCACCACGGCAAGTACTGCCTCTATGGCATGTGCAGCTATGCTTGAAGAGGAATTAAGAAGAAAAAGGAGAGAAGAATATTAATTATTATTGATTGTGATGATCAATATCTCTTTGATGAATATTGAGATCTCGTGAGGTTCGTGATTAATTTTTATTCCTAGTATATGCAATAAAGTAACCACATGAAATGAATTTGGTGGTTCTCAAACATTAATACGAAACAATTTATATTTACAATATTGTTAATTCCGATCGTCTATGGCGATTCAATTATTTCTGAGTGTATTCTGTCGTGCGTATTGAAAAACTACGTAATATATAAGTAAAATGTATCGATTAATAACTTCATTGTGTGTTGAGAAAGTATTACACATTTTTGTTAGAGCTATACTCGTAGGCTTTAAAATTTGTAATTGATTGTTTGGATTTTGGAAGTACTATAGAAGGAAGAATTCGATCCAATATGTATGTATTCTCCATTACTCCTAAACATAATTAAAAAAAATACTTGGTAGAAATTTGATAGAATAATTTGATAATATACGTACGTGTAATTAGGTTTTAAAGATATAATATATACATATATATATATATATATATATTAGCTATTACCTATTGAATGTGTATATGCCCTGAGTCAAACCCCAAACGATTATTTGAGAAGGCATGCACATGCATGCAGTCAAAGTCGTTAAATCATATATTATTTATATATAATACACATATAAATAAATATATATATATATATATATATATAATTGCCCGTAGAGCTTTCTAAAGCTTAGGCAATAGGCAATAGGTAACATAGGCAAGCTCTCTAGGATTTAATTATGACTCAAAATTTCATACGGTAACTGTAACCACAAGGAAATTATTAATATATGATCAACTATGCTAGTATCGACAATATATATATATATATATATTGCACGGAAATTAGCTTAAGATCGAGAGCTGATCATTTAATTTTATATGTAATTGATTGCGTATTTTGAGAAAAGCAGATTAATTAGAGTTGTCCTGTTTAGACTCTCATGAGTCCTTATGAAGCAAACTAAAAGTATAATAAAAGGGCCACAGGATTTCCCGTGGAAATCGCTCATCATATACAAGTTTGTCATCTTAATTTCCTAAAAAAAGTTTTCATTTTGCATATTCCATCATGTAGAAAGTTTTCGTGGCCACTATATATATATATATATATATATATATTCTTATAAGAAATGTTCCTCTAACAAGTAACGCTTTCTCGATCGAATACGAAAAAACATTTGAAGTAAATAATAGTAAATTAAAAATTTACCATGTAAATATAAATTTTACGTAGTGATTTATTTTTTATTAGTCATAAATTGAAAATTTACATTTATATTATCTTTTTACTAATTGTAAATAAAACATTTACTGAGTAAATTACTTATTAACTATTATTTACCTCAACTATTTTTAAATCTGCTACTTATTTTAATTTTGTAAAAATGCTATGTGCTATAATTTCTGTAATTATTATCACTCCAATATATAGTTGACCTTTTTAAAAGTATATTCATTATTCGCGTATAGTTGGGTGCTTTTTTTTTCTCTAATCATTTGAATTATAGTTCAAACATTTTTTACTACAGTATTTTTTTTTATAAAAATTTATATTTCTATTTAAACTTATTAATTTACACCTATTAATCAAATGACATGACCACCACTATCCCTAAAATATATGTTAAATATATTTATGGTGCACTTCTATGAAGGGATGCATATTTGAAAATAAAAAGAACAAGATCGACCGCCGCCGCCGCCGAATGATGTGGAAATTGCGTAGCTAATGTTTAAAAAGACAGATTATATGGGGGTTTTCTCTAATTGATGTGTAAAAATATGGTTGTGTATATTTCTTATTATTGTGGCATGGATCTGTCAATTTCTCGTGACAGCCTAAGAAGAGCCACATCTGCTCAATGATTTTAGGGTTCGTTTAGTTTGTTGATTCGAGTTTTTAATTTGAATTGATATGTGATTTTATGTGAGAATTTTTTACAGTAACAAAAAAGTTAGATGTGACTGTTTCTGAGAGTTTTTTACTATAACAAAACTCGAATCGATAAAATGAATGGGGCCTTAAAGTATCGGTTGCAATATTTAATTATTAAAATAGAGTTCCATAAAAAATATCAAACAAAAAAGTTACCATAATAGTCAAGTCTAAAAGTAATTATGTATCCTGGTGATATCTCTAGAGACGCTTCAAAAGTAATCTAGGCTATGCTAGTCGCACAAGAGCTTTTACTAATAAGTAATAGCTCCCCCCAAAGTGCTTTGTCTTTGCATAAATCATGAAAAATTAGAAAGTGTATCTATAGTTTAACCAAATATTTTCGTGAATTAGCACATCACATAATGTAACTCTATTTTGGTTGTGGTACAATTGAAAAAAAAAAAAAAAAAAAAAAAAAAAAAACCCCCATGAATCTTTGACACTTTTAACTAAAAGAGTTGACTTTTTTTTCTGATCGGTAAATTATTTAGAGATCAGTGAGGTTGGGACAATTAATTAAAGTAATAACAACAATTATTAGTTCTTCAAAAGTTAAGGCCCGTGCAGAAAAGGAAAAAAAAAAACGGAAAAGAAGACACATCTTATTCTTGATTAATACTCTTTTAATTAAATTCTATATTAGTAAAAAGATTAATCAAAAGTAAGAGGTAAAAATCTAGACTAATACACTTCTAAGAGTAAGTTGAGTTATTTTCTTGGGAAAAAAAATAACTATATGAAAACAAAAGTATGAAAGCGAGGCACATATGATTACCAATTATCATTTAACGATCACAACATATCGATATTTGTCAAAAATTACGTATTCTCTTGAAAAATTGCCCCAACGTAGGCTAGCTCTAGCTAAAACTCCATGTTTTTATTACAACATGAAACAAAGACCAAATAATGCATAAACAAATAATTAATTGACATATATATTGTCCATTAACATATATATTTTTATTCTTACTATGATTGTTTTTCTCCTTCTTCTTCACAAAAATAAAGAATTTAAATATTGAAAACCGAACTACCATCTTCATCATTTATGAGTAGCTGCAAAGGCCAAAAGCACAAAGGCCTCCATTGTTGCACCTATTGTTGCACCCACCACAATGTTTCTTGTTGAAGGACGGGTTCACACACTTGCCATTGCAGCAAATCTTGTTGTACTTGCACTTCTTCCCGCACTTGCCGCAGTTATGGCGGTCTCTCATCACATTGACACACTTCTTCTTGCAACAAGTCGGCCCGGGGCTGCCCTTGGCGCGACAAATCCTCGGGAGCCTCTTGCACGTCACCCGCCGAGTGTGCTTCCTTGGCGAGAAAAATGAAAAATGTTCCACTTCATGTATTTGGTTAGAAGGCGAATTATCCAACTGGTCATGATTTTCTAGCTCATTCTCTAGGGCTTCTAAGGCCAGAAATCGCGATATCGGTGAAAACAATCATGATAATCAAACTCAAACTAATGAGTTTCATTTTTCTGAGGAAAAGAAAGATATTTGTAGCTAGGGATTTTATTTCAATGGCTCAAGAAAACTATTTAGAGCTTATAACTGTTTTGGTGAGAATGAGATGGTGAATAATTTTAGGGTTATATATATATATATATATATATATAGGCAACTGAATTTAGCAAAGTGTTTGACACGTTTTAGCGTACTTTTTGTAAGTGGAGAAGTCCAAATTCAACTACTACCAATGGGCAATAGTGTTTAGATTTTATAATATTAATTACGCCTAAAAGTAAATGAAAGTGACACAAAAAGGTTATGAGAAACTGAATACATAGGATTATACAAAAAAAAAAAAGTCTAACCCAAAAAGTACTCTTAATTTCTAGATAGCAATATAATAAGTGATGATACGTGTAAATGGTCAAATGATCTGTGCAATATATTTCAATTTTTCCACATGATTACGTGCTTCTGAAAACATGATCAAACTCCAACATTATATCTTAGTGCATTGTCGAGTGTATTGTATATATTAATAATCTATTGTTCCTTCTCAGAAAGAATATAGTTAAATAAAAATGTGTAGAAAGTCGAGTTATAAGGTTAACTTTTTGCTTCCATAGGAAACTTCCGAGGTGAATTATGGAGACCGGCAAATCAAATCGGATTATTCGGGAAATCTTATGCTGGTAAAATTTCATTATGAAGAGAATTTCTGGCGCTGTAAGTCTAACCAAGATTTGGTATGTACCACGTTATCTATCTCTCTCAGGTCTATATATATATATATATATATATATACATATTTATATACACATACATATATACATACATATGTATGTATGTATGTATATAGACACACACAAAATATGTGTGTGTGCATATGTGAAGGGACTGAATTTTTATTTTTTTTTTTGTTCTCTTTAAAATATATAACATATATAGTAACTTTATTCAACTAAAACAAACATTAATAACATATAGAGTAGTGTGGACAACAATCCTAATATTCACCTTTTTTTTTTTATCAAGTTTGAGTTTTTACTACAAGAAAAAAGTTTTTTGTGACCAAAAATTGGTCGCACAAAAACTGCATAATTTGGTCGCGAAAAGCCCCTAAGAAAAGTGTGACAATCTATTAAACAACTCCCAATAAGAGAATAACAACTCAAAATTGGTACAATAGTTGAGATGAAAATTAGTATTTTTGCAATATCATTCACTTTATAAGTATAAGTCCTGTAGATATATAAGTTCGAAAACAAATAATTAATTATAATAGAAAAGATCAAACAATTCACTTTTTCTGTTAACGCGCATGCAATTCCATGAGCAGTTAATTTAGCTCCACAAAGAATAAATCTTTGGATCTTTTAAAACGCCCTCAGCAATTCTGATTGATACAATAAATGAACACGTTGTCAATGTCGATCTTTGACAATTGAAATTACCAGACAAAAATACTTGAAATAATAAAATTTAAAGAAAAATAATCAGACTAAACTAATCATCACTAATAAATTAAGATCTACGCGGACATATTTTTGTTCATTTTGGAAGTATATATGACCCAAGGATCTCCTGTTTTTGGTAGAAAGAATTAAAGAATTTGGGATCAATGAATGTGTTAGTTTACCAATCCATCCCAAAAGTTTAAGCTATTACGATGTGGGTCAACAATAATTTTATACTTTGACACTCCCCCTCACGTGTAGACCGGACAATGAGCAATTGTGTGTGTAAATTAATTAGAAAGCCCAACATGTGAATATTTAAGCCCGATATATATTAAAGACCCAACACATTATGACAATTTAAATGAGGATAAAAAGTGTAATTACAGGGGTTTGAACTCATGACCTCCCATTCTGATACCATGTTAGTTTACCAAAAACTAACAGAATGTGAAAGAGAGGAAGGAGAAAAGAAGAGACTCAGGGCTGAGTGTTTAAACCACATTATTTGACTTATATGCACACGGATATTACAAGTATTATTGACTTTATATGCATGACAAAGTGTGAAGAGATTATTAATAGACATGCATTTAGATTCAAGCTCCTTTTTCTCCATATTATTCCCAAACAAATTTCAGTCTTTGTCCCACCATTTGTTTGGTATAATTTGAAATTATGAATTAGTAATTAGGAATAAGTGGACCTAACTAATATTGATTTTCTCCTGCTCTTTATTTTTATTTTTTTAAATCCATTGACCGTTTTGAATTTAGACGGCTTGAAGTATTCAAAAGCACAGAGGAAAATCCGTATGTCAAGCCTAATTTTCTTGTAAAGACTCGTATTCATATTTCATTGTCAATGATCATGACTACTTTTCCCACTAATTAGCCCTTTTTGTCCCTTGTCAAGGACACAGAACCACTCCCAAATCGTGATTACAGATATAATCTATAACGGTAATTTCAGACCTGACTCCATTATAAGGTTATGAATTTGAACCCCAAAAAAATTCCCTAAGCCATGACTTCTTTACAAAAACCACACTTTCCATATTTTTCTCATTTTCCATTTTGGAGGGAAAAAACAAAAACAAACAACTTTTCGTTTTTTGCCTTATTCCCTATTGGCCCTTGCTCTAAGCAACAAACTTAAAGGTAGAAGAGGGTTAAGCAGAAGAGTTTTATATGAGCAAGAGATGAATATCAAGAAAAAAACGTGCGTTAATTATTTGTTGAGATTAAAAAAGTTTCAACCTATATTGGGAGATTAAGAAAATTTTGGTTTTTACATGTTATGCCATATGATAAAGAAATGTTCTTTTGTGTGTGGAAAAGTAAGAACATTATTTATACGAACTTATTTGTTTTTTTTTATTTGTTTTTATTCTTGATTGTTGGTGTCAAACTAAATGATTAAATTTTACAAAGTCCAAAGAAATATTCAATATCTATTATCTATAATATAATAAAAGTGTGATAAAGTAGGCATGTGTTATGGAATTTTTTTTTTTCTTTTTCATTTTCTGATAAAACTTGACCAATATACTCACCAAGGCACAACACCAAATATATGTGGAAACGAATGGATCAACGATATGTTTTTTTTTCAAATTTTCTCTTTGCATTCTCTCATGAGTCACGGGCAATATGATTGATACATGGAGAAAATATTGGTAGGAATAGCCGACTAAATAGGTTTTACTACTAAGAGCAAAATTTTTCTTTATTTTCTTTTTCTTTCAGCTTCTTTATTTTTTTTTTTTCCTTTTTTGAATAGATCGGCAAATATATAGTTGGGGTTCCAGTATGCCATTTCCAAAGTGGATATGATTTGGTATTCTACACACACACACACACACACACATATATATATATATATATATTTACATCAAGATATAAGTAGATATACTGAAACATTGATCATTATATGTGGTAGCCATGTAGAAATTCTCTGTTATAAACCAAAATAATTTATTTCAACATCCATCCACGCACTTGGCAAAAAGAAAAATCACCATATCCACAACAAAAATAAAAACAAGACAAATTAAAATCATCACATCAATGACTTTAACTTTTCATCATCTTAAAATTAAAGAATTTGAATCTCAAAACAAATTATGTATACTTAAGATCTTATATATATATATATATATATATATATATGATCCTATGAGTAGCTACAAAGTCCAAAAGCACAAAGGCCTCCATTACTACACCTATTGTTACACCCACCACAATGTTTCTTGTTAAAGGACGGATTGACACACTTGCCGTTGCAACAAATCTGGCTGTACTTGCATTTCTTCCCACACTTGCCACAGTTATGACGATCTCTCAGCAAATTCACACACTTCTTCTTGCAGCAGCTCGGTCCCGGGCTGCCCTTGGCGCGACAAATCCTCGGAAACCTATTGCACGTCAGCCGCCTGGTGTGCTTCCTCGGCGAGAAGGCCGAAAAGTGTTCCACTTCATGCATTTGATCAGAAGAAGATTCTAACTTGTCACGATTAGTACTATAACTTTCTAGTTCACTTTGTAAGGCGCAAATCGCGACATCGGCGAAAATAATCGTGACAATCAAGAACATACTAATGAGCTTCATTTTTGTGACTTGTGTCAAATATGGAAGAATGGTTTGGGAGCTTGGTCTGTGAGAAAGGTGATGAAGTTTTTGGGTATTTATAAGGAGCTAAATTTGGCACTGGCCAATGGGTTTGACTCGTTTTCATGATCAACGCCTACCTTTTGATAGTGGAGAAGTCCACTTTTAAATGCCATACCAAAAGCTTTGAGACTTTATTCCACCCCTAAATGCATGCATGTGCTTTCTCTTTCAGATGCAAAGACATTAAGTTGATTTAAAAAACTGAAAATGACCCGATCAAAAAGGTATAAGAAAGTGAAACAAAGATGGTATTTAATCGTAATAAAACAAGTGAGATTTGTCAAAATGGTCAAAGCATATATACTCTACAATATTCAATTTGGTCACATGTCTTTATGTAAATATAGAATACAAATATATATATATATATATATAGAGAGAGAGAGAGAGAGAGAGAGAGAGAGAGTTAATGTTTTGTGTTAGCAGACAATATCAATACCCAATATCTCATTGGTCAGTGCAGAATAAATTGGTATGCTTAATTTTAATGATCTTTTGCACATACATAATAATATAAGATAAAATTGTTTTAGTCATATGCGTAAAGTCAATCAAGGTAATTAATTACTCATTTGCTTCGTAGCTAGGAAACTTTCAATTTGAAAGGGAACAATATGGAGCTTAACAAAATTAATCTGGAAGTCTTTTAATAACGTGGTAGGTAAATATTCCATTTTTGCAATTTCACAATGAAGAGATAATATTTTAACCAATATTTGATGTATATCCGAGGTGTAACATATTTACGAACTTCGAACCAGATAATCGCAAAAAAAGAAAAGAAAAAAAAAGGTTGACTTTTACGTGCATTTGAGACTCTTTTCCAAGTTGTAAATTTTTGCATCCCATAACCATACCACGATTTTGCTCAAAAAAAAATAAAAAAATAAAAAACCCACGGTTTTTGGTCTCCGCGTCGCCTACCATGTTTGGTAAATGAATTAGGAATGTGGACCCAACATATTTAATTTTCGTCTCTATATGTTGAACTTACCTTAGGGACTAGGGTGCATAAGTCCCTAATTAGGGATTTTTACTTTTTAAATAGGTATTAATTAAGAATAATAGATAAAAATAGGCCTCGTTCACTTCGTGAATTCGAGTTTTCAATTCGAGCTGAGATGTGACATTTTCTGATAACTTTTTACTGTGACAGAAAAAATTAGATGTGATATTTTCTGAGAACTTTTTACTGTAGAAACTTAAAATTAAAAACCATTGATATTTTCCGAATTAAGAATAATAGATAAAAAGTTAGATATGATATTTTCTAAATTTTTATACACTTTAAATGGGTATTAATTAAGTACAATTTATCTCTTTTTTCCTGACTTTTTTTCACTGAGTTGACCATTGAATGTTGAACCGTACTATTTCGGTACCATAAGCACAAAAGAAAAGTCTGGATGACCAAGCCAAATTTTCCAATGAATATATAAGTCCATGTCTATATATCGTTACTCTCACATTAAAAAAAAAGAAAAAAAGAAAAAATTATTAAGTAAAAGATACGAGGACAGTTATAAAACTGTGTTGAACCAGAGTCGGTAAAAGTGATATGACATTTAAGACGGTTTAAATATGCATTACATAACACGCCATTTGAGCGGCTCTCTGAAGCATTTAAGGAAGGTTTTTCTTTTTTGGGAGGCGTATTATTAAGTTAAATTTTTTTAACAGTTGAATTTATATACTTTTTAAATTTTATGTGATTTTATTATTTAACAGATAAAAAATTTGACTTATTTATATGTTAACATATCAGATAATGTTCCATCTTTTTTAGCTAAAAGAAAGGAAGGTTTATCTTTAAAACTGTTGTCATGTGTGTGCATTTAATGATAGTTGAGATTAAAAGTAATGAGACGTTTGGTTCATAGATTAGAATCATTTTTTTATTTACGTGTATTGTTTTGTGAGAAAAAATACTGTAGCGAATCATGAACCATGATTCAAATCATGGTATGAATCCCCTTACCAAACGTCTCATTAGTATTCCTAGCAATTTCATTCAATGTTAATTATAAATCTTGTAGAAATACAATATCAACATAACAAATTTAACAAAATCTAATAAATAAAAAAAAATCTAATAATTCAATTTTTTTTTCTATTGACGTGCTTGTGATTCCACAAAGGACATCAAATTTACCTCCACAAGAAATAAATTTTTAAATCTTCAAAATGTCCTCTGCTATTCTGATTGATATAATAAATGTTGTCGATGTCCATTCTTGACAAGAGATTACAACACAAAATTATAAACCTACATAAAAGTTACCACAAGCAAATTAATATTTAAGTGAACATATATCTTCATTCATTTTGAAAATATAACAAAAACTACAAAATAAAAGAAAAGAAGACTAGCTATGATCTTATTGGAGAGAAAATTTCCCAAGGATCTCCTTTTTTGGAAGGACGAATTATCGAAATTTGGGATCCATCAATAATGAGAGTGAGGAAGGAGGGAAGAAGAGACTCAGGTTGAATGTTTAACCACATTATTGACTTATATACACACTGAATATAAATATTATTATTGACTTGTATATACTCGATACAAAGTGTGAACAGATTATTAATTCAAGCTCATTGGCTTTCATGGTTTTTTTTTTTTTTTTTTTGTGTGGGAAGGATCGAGTATATTAATACGAGAAAATCAGTAGTGAACTAACCCTTTAAATACGTTGTTCTAAGATTTTTACCTTTTATTTTTTATTAATATTCTTTTGACTGACATAGTTCTTTGAGTAAAGAGTATTAAACAAATGTAAGGCATAAAAATCTTAGACTCATGTATTCTAAAAGTATTGTTTTTTTTTTTCTATATTAATACGCATGCCATTAGGACTTGATCTATTATTGAAGCTACTTTTTCTCCGTATTATTCCCACAATATTTCTGCCTTGGCCCACCTTTTATTTGGTATGCAAAATTTTGAATGAGGAATATAAATGGGACCCAACTAATATTGAATTTCTCCTTCTCTTTATTATTATTATTTTTTTCAATTCGTTGACCTTTTTTAATTTAGACGGCTTGCAGTACTCAAAAGCACAAATTAAGGAAATGTAAGGTAACAATTCTTTATTATCTATTTTTGTGCAATCATAGATAATGAATTGTTCTTTTTTTTTTTTTTTTTTTTTTGGTGTGTAGGAAGGTAAGAATATATGAACGAACTCAATCTGTTTTTTGTTTTTGTTATTGATTGTTGGTTTCAAACGAAATGATAAAATCGAGCGAAGTTTAAAGTAAGCAACATGATAAACCTTGACCAATATTACCATTCGGCACCAAAGCACAACTCCAAATATATGTTGAAAAGAGGATCATCCATATTGTTTATTATTGTTTTTCTCCTTTAGTTTTCTATGCCTTTTACTTCCCTCATATTAAGTCATGAGCAATAATAATGCAATATGGTTGATAAGAATAATTTGCGTAATGCAATATGGTTGTTTAACAATAATTTGTTGTTTAATTTTTCTCCTTTTTTCTTTGCGTTTTTTCGCCTTTTCTTTTGCCCATTTGGAAATAATTTGCCGGACCGTACGTTTATTGACAAACACACACACATATATATATACGTATACGTATATACGATTTTTTTTTGGAGAACTTAAAGCTCTACACTAGCAATAATTGTACTTTTACTAGTATATATGGTAGCCATGTAGAAATTCGTTGATTTATTAGCCAAAATAATTCTTTACTATATAGTATCCACGCAATTGGCAAAAATTAAAGAAAAATCACCATTATCTGCAAGGAAAATAAAATCAAGAGCAAAATCATCACACCAATGATTTAATTTATTTATCATCTTGGAATTAAAGAATTTGAATCTTAAAACAAATTCATGTATTGTTAAGATCTTATGATCCCTATGAGTAGCTACAAAGTCCAAAAGCACAAAGGCCTCCACTACTGCACCTATTGTTGCACCCACCACAATGTCTCTTGTTAAAGGACGGATTGACACACTTTCCATTGCAACAAATCTGGCTGTACTTGCATTTCTTCCCACACTTGCCACAGTTATGACGATCTCTCAGCAAATTCACACACTTCTTCTTGCAGCAGCTCGGTCCCGGGCTGCCCTTGGCGCGACAAATCCTCGGAAACCTATTGCACGTCAACCGCCTGGTGTGCTTCCTCGGCGAGAACACCGAAAAGTGTTGCATTTGATCAGAAGAAGATTCTAACTTGTCACGATTAGTACTATAATTTTCTAGTTCATTTTGTAAGGCGCAAATCGCGACATCGGCGAAAATAACGGTGACAATCAAGAACATGTTAATGAGCTTCATTTTTGTTAGAGAAGAGAAATATTATGACTTGCGTCAATGGAAGAATTAATGCTTAATTTGGGAGCTTGGTGTGTGAAGATGGCGAGGTTTTGAGTATATATAGAGAGAAATTTTGGTATTGGCCAGTGGGTTTGACACGTTTTAGCCTACCTTTTGATAGTGTGTTATGTCCACTTTTAAATGCCAAAAGCGTTGAGATTTTTTTATTTCACCCCTAAATGCATGAATCATGTGCTTCTCCTTTCAGATGCGAACATAATATGATCATTAAAAAACTGAAAATACCTGATCAAAAAGGCTGTACAAAAGTCAAAACTCAAAATAATAGCAATATAATAAGTGAAGTGTGTCAAATTGGTCAAAGCATATGTATTATGAAGCTGTTTAGTTCGTTAATTCGAGTTTTTAATTCGAGTTGAAGTGTTACTTTATGTGAGAGTTTTTTATTATAGCAAAACTCGAATTATAAACTCGAATCGGTGAAATGAACGGGACTTATATATACAATATTCACTATTGACACGTCTTTATGTGAGTATAGAATATGTATATATAGAGTTAATGTTTTGTGTTAGCAGACAATATGAAAACCCAATATTTCATTGGCCAGTGCAGTATCAA